CCCCAAAACCCCAAAACCCCAAAACCCCAGCAATCTAATATATTAGAAAATGAGTAAAATAAAAATTATTCAATTAAGAATCACTTTCACACTTAAATAACTTAATCTACTTCATAAATTGATATAGGCTTGATCTGATTGAATTCCTTATTAATCAATTTGTTGAGTTTGTAGATTTTATATCTATAAATAAGCATTCCAGTGATCTTAATAGTTTAATAGCAAATCAGAAAATAAGCAATAATAAATAGTGAGTTCTCTTTTTAATTCCTATTGAAAAATATCAATAAATATCCAGCTAAAACATTAGCTAGCATCCAAATAGAAAACATAATTAATCTTGAACTTATATATTCTTTTTTCTTTTCAAAATCACTTTTCCCCTACTTGCCTTTATTTTAAACTAAACTCTAGTACTTCATTAAATCCTTATCTTTGCTAGCACTTCTATTTCCCCAGGATACATCATGAAGATTTGAATATGAGTAGATCTAAAATAAAATCAAATATACTGGAATCATTGTTAAATATAGTAAAAGTGAGGAAAAGTAAAGTGGAAATTTCTTGCAAAAATTTATTCCGTCAAAAATAAGCATTGGTAATATAAATGTGAAAATAAAAATTAAGCCAAGGAGTATACTCATATCAGTCTTGAAAAATTCTCTCATTCCACTCACAATAACGAAGCCATAAGTTAGAAAAAATGAAATGCTAACAACTTTTAAAATAAGAGCTACTATTTTTTCATTAATATGCTTACCCATTCCAAACGAAATAATAACGATAAGTTAAAACATAATTATGAGAATATTTTCTATAAAGTTAGAAAACTTAAAAGGATCTTGACCATCTGAAGAATCAAAGGTAATTCGAAGAAGTGCTGAGACTTAACCATAAAATAATCCTGATGCAATAAACCCAATTATGTTTTATAGAGTCATAAGTAAAAAATTGAAGAGAAACATTAATTTTCAACATCTACTATGAGATGAGTTACTAAACTTCCCATAATTAGCAAATATATGAAGGAATGTAGCATTAGCTCCATTAATCCATCTTCTTCTTTGGGCAATCAAAATTGAGAATTATTCGGGAGGATCAGTTAGTGCAGCTGCCTCAGGTAAATATACAAGGTCATATTTTGCTTCCTTTCCTTTAATATTGTTCTAAGCTACAATTTCAAAGCTCATTATTCTATCTTCAGCTAGAAACATATTTAGTTCACTCAAGCTAAGTCTTTATTTATCTAAGCCTTTGAAAAATGACTCAAGAGGCTTCCCCTTAATAGCTTCCCATCTGAAGATTGAAAATGCACCAGGAAGCACACTTTGATAGCCGAAACACCCCTCAAATGATTTGTCTAAGAAATGAGATATTTTGTATTCAAAAAATTAGACGCTGGATAATATTGAGAATTAAGGCATTTCAACTTCAATTTCACCACATGCTCCTCCAATATTTTTCCCATAATCAAGAAGTCTGACTAACTTACTGATTGATCCAGGCAAAGCTTACGTCCCAATATCTAGTAAAAAAACTTAATCAGGATTAAGATATTCACAAAAACCTCTGTAAAAATAAAGATGAGAATCAATTTTAAGATTGTTGAATTATTTTACTGCAAATACGAAATTAACTGTATTTTGCATAAATTTTCCAAGATCTGCATCTAGTTTAGATGCAAAAAGTTTTAAAGGAATATTAGATTGGAAGCAGTGAATTAAGTTAAGGATTGGTATGCTATGCTTATATCTCTCATCTTCACATTCCAAAAGTATGTTTGCTAGTTTACTTCTTTTTATATCATAGATTGTCATTGGTTCTTCCTTCATTGCTTAGTGCTCTTGCTTTTTAATAAATGGATCTATTGCTGATGCATCAAATATACCTAATTAAGTAGCTTATTCTTTGAATTCTGATCCTAAGTTGATATATCCATCAGCTATCAATACAATTAGAACTTAATCTTTAAAGTCATCCCAACAAACACAATTATTTGTCCTTAGTTAGTCAAGATATATCTCGGTTAAACCTTAAAGTACACCTAATATTGTTCGTTGAAATAATAGCCAGCTTTCATTATACATAGTTATCCCAATTGCCAACTTTATTCCATCTGGATGTTTTTATTTCATTTGATTCAACATGCTTTATTTCCATATTTTTCTATGGCCACTTTAGCCTCCTATACCTACGAATTGAAGGTCAAAAGTCTTGACAGGATCAGTAGGGTCTTATGAGTTCTCTGCAAAATCAAATAACTTTAAAGTTTGATAAGTGAGGTTAGTTTTATTGTTCAACTTAACTCTAGTAAAGTCTACTGGTTAATTATCTCTATTTGTGTGTGCACTCTGATTTTCAGAGTATCTGGTGGTATTTAATGAGGCTTGACTATTTTATTATTGCTGATTGAACTTTTTATATTCTTCAATTCTTACCTTTTTCAATTTAGATAATCTTCTCATTATTTCAAGTTGTAATTATAATAAGCTTTATAATTGTGAAAATCTTATATAATTACTATTTATCGCCCAACACAAAAAGTTTAATCAATTATTAATTAAATCTGTTATGCCTGAAATTATCATAAATTTATGTCTCGGGGTTTTGGGGTTTTGGGGTTTTGGGG